CTCTTATTCAGAATGCGACAGATGACTGATTCATTGTCAGCAGCTCGAAGTTTTTTCAATTTGTTCGACCGAATACCAGCCATCGACAACAGTTCTACGAATGGTAAACAATTGGTGAGCAATTAATTTAGTAAAAGTTTGAGTTTTGAACAGATTAATTTTATCTTATTGTGAAAATATATTGATAATAGAGTGATTTCAAAGGTAAGATAGCATTTGATCAAGTCAAATTTGCGTATGCATCTCGGCCAACATCCTGGATTCTGAATAAATTTCAATTTATGATCAAACCTGGTGAGCTTATTCTGTGTATTTTCAGTTTAGTTTTCGATTAAATCTCTCTATTTGTCAATCAGGTCAACGTGTAGCCCTTGTAGGTATGTCGAAGTCATTTGTTGTTCATTCAAAACGGTTATCAACTCTATTTGCAAAGGTGCATCCGGTTGTGGCAAATCGACAGTCATTCAACTCTTGGAACGATTTTATGATCCCATACAAGGTCGAGTCGTGAGTATTTCTCTTTTATTCTGTCAACATATTGTGTGAACATCCGATTAGGGATGTCGTGTTAGCATTAAATAAAAAAATAGTGCTAATACCTTTGCATTAGCATTAACAGTTAACATTTATGCTTTGGCATTAATGGTATTAGGATTAATTAATACTTAGGTGTTAGTATTAATGTAGCATTATTTTTAATGCTAAAACATACATCCAGTGTCAGTTCTAGACTGCTACCTTGACATACTACCTTTAACTTTTCAAGAGCTACCTGGTGGCATTCTTTGTAACTTTTTGAGGGCTACCTGGGAGTACTCTGTGTAACTTTTCAAGGCGGCATCTCTCATTGGTGTAACACACTTCGATATCATGTGTTGTATAATGTTTTCATTGAACGAAGTTAGATCGGCACGAATGCAACATGTTCAGAGAATGCGAAAGTCTGTGAAGAAATCTTAGAAAAAGTAATGGATGATTTTCTAGCGTTCTAATTTTAGTCTCACTACTTTGATTTATAGAGATTCTTTGCATAGAATTCACTCTAGAAAAATGTTGCCCCTAAGTTTGTCGCATAGTATGTACAGATAGTGGAACGTCACAGTAGCTGCTCTGGAGAGAGGTGGTTTTGTCTTGCATTCTTCCTGCATATGTAGGAGTTGAAGGACGACTTTTGTGGAAAGACCTGTAGAACACTGAAGCACAGAGCTGTTAGACTGTCGTACCATAATCAATACAGCACAGTAGGATAATGGGGAGCATCTTCGAGGGTAGTATAGTGGTAGAGTTAGAAGACATTTTTCTTCGACCACAGAGTGAGAAAAAAGCTTACACTCTGCAACTGCTCTTGAAATTATATTGCTGCTTATGACGTTTAGAGTTCTTGAACTAAGATTTTAGAAGGGAGAGTTACACAAAAACATGTAGAATAAGGTAATGGTTAAAGTTCCACAGATTAGGGTAGAGTGAGGATTGAAGTTTTACACAGTATGATGAGGTACACAGATAGGACCTTTTTTTTTCTTACTTATAATGCAGAGTACGAAAGAACAAGCTACTCTACACATCTATTTCCTTTCTTATTTTCCTTTGTTTTTATCGATCAGATTATCAATCTTGAACTTTTACCGCTATTCTCGTATTCTTTTGTTCATCTTGTGCATATCAATCGTTTTTGTTAATTATTTTGTGTAGAAATATGGGCGATCAATTTTATTAACAAAATTATTGTAAATGATTTTATTTAATTAGTGCTTTTATACTATTTGACATCGTACCGTATCTTCATATGAGTTTTTATCCTTGTTAACATTCAGGACAAAAGACCATCCAGCAGGCAGGTTGCAGGACGAAACTTTTGATTTCTACTCTGTGTTTTGAAAAGCAGGACGCTGGATGATAGCTTCCACAGTAGGAAAGACAGGACGAAAGAAATCTGTCTTGCGATGTTCGAGATATGAGTTCTAAGAAATCATGAGCTTTACTCTAACTGATTGTACCAAGTGATTTTCAAGAAAGTTTACCTATTGTTGTTGGAATAAGACAAGACATTAATTTGTATGCCAATCGAATTGCCATGTTGTAGATAAAGAAGTATGAATCGATTTCTTCAACCTTTTTCCACCAATAAGAAAACTTTGCGTTCTAAATGTGTCACTAAAAGATCGAACTTCTCTTTACTCTAGATTTTCTCACTCAGAACTACGCTTCTTTGTGATGATAATATCATGTTCAGATTGAACATAAAAAGCAAGCAGACTCATATATATTTTGCTATTATTATCAATTGAACTAGATATTTCAAGAAATCAGAGGTACATATCCATACGATAGATTTTTGATTCTGCATCTGAATATGATATCGCCATCACAAAGAAGGGTAGTACTGATAGAGAAAATTTAGAGTAACAGGAAGTTTGATCTTTTCGCGTCACATTTAGAGAAAAAAATTCTCAATACTGGAAAACATTTGAAAAGGATGACTTATTTCGCTTTATCCATAAGGAAGCGATTCGAACGGCATACCGATGAACATATTGATTTATTAGAAAAACAATACGTATACTTTGCTGAAGGTCATTTGGTACAATCCTTTAAATTAAAGCTCACGATTTACTAGAACCTGTACATCATACATGACGAACCTCGGGATGATATTTTTCGAGTGAACTCTGTACGAAGAATCTTTAGAAACCAAACTAGTGACATCAAAAACAACAAAGTTAACGAATGCTTGGTTACTTTTCGCCAAAATTTTTTCCTAGATTTTCACATTCTCTTATTAATTTGCATTTGTCCCGATGCGGCTTTATCCAATTAAAACATAGTACAATACTCCAAATCAAAGTACGAACGCAAGCTAGCTACGTCTGATTCCTATAAAAATAACATCAGCTGTAGCTTTGCAGTACTTCCTTACTATACACTCATATAGTTTTTTGCATAGTTATGCAAGCATGAATATTTTACATGAAAATACAATGAAATATTCTATACAATACGCCAGAAAATTTTCATAATCCAGATCAACGAACGCGTTATTGCAGAAAAATCAACCCGTTATAAAAAAAAACCTATGCATTATATTTGAGCGGCTCTCAAAAAATTACTGCTATAATGTTCATAGAGCAGCTCAAAAGTTAAGAAGACTATGCCTAGGTGCTCCTTACAAAGTTACAAAGAGTACGTCTAGGCAGACCTTAAGATGTTACATAGAGTACCACTGGGTAACCATTAAAAAGGTACAAATACTGCCCCCAGGTACTCCTTAAAAAATTACAAAGACTGCTCCCAGGCATCTCCTAATAAGTTACAAAGACTACTCCTACGTAGTCATTAAAAAGTTGCAAAGAGTAACCCCTGGTAGCCCTTAAAAAGTTACAAAGAATGCAACCAGGTAGCCTTTGAAAAGTTAAAGGTAGTATGGCAAGGTAGCAGTCTAGAACTGACACTGGATGTATATTTTAGCATTAAAATATTGCTACATTAATGCTAACACCTAAGCATTAATTAATCCTAATACCATTAATGCCAAAGCATAAGTGTTAACTGTTAATGCTAATGCTAAGTGTAATGCAACATCGCTATACTCGACTAATGAAATCTAGTCTCTTGATGATGTTGACATTCAACAACTGAATATCCAATGGCTTCGCTCGTGTCTTGGTCTTGTTAGTCAGGAGCCTCTCTTATTTGATTTGACTATTGCTCAGAACATAGCATATGGCAGTGAGAACACTTCGATTGAAGATATTATCGACGCGGCCACCAAAGCTAACATTCATGATTTCATTCAGCAGTTACCTCAAGTGAGTAAATAATAACACATGATATTTGATTGTGTCATCGTCGCATGCAATAGGGCTATGAGACCAAGGTGGGCATAAAAGGTGACCAGTTGTCAGGTGGTGAAAAACAACGCATTGCCATTGCTCGAGCTCTTCTTCGTCGACCAAAAGTATTGCTGCTAGACGAAGCAACAAGTGCCATGGACTCGTACAATGAACAGGTTCGTTTTCTTACCATGCGCATTAACCAACTAATCATTTCCAATATGTTTAGATCGTGCAAGAAGCTCTTGAAAGAGCTCAAACAGACGATCCAACTCGAACTTCACTGATTATTACTCATCGTCTATCGACCATTCGTTCATGTGATTGGATCTGCGTTCTTGACAAAGGATACCTTGTAGAAAGTGGTACTAATGCAGACTTAATGGAACGACGTGGGGCCTACTATCGTATGATTGTTCGCAGCAATACTTCATAAATTATCTTTGTTGTTATTTTAACGAAATTGACCAACAATTGAAACGAACTATACTACTTTTTTTTCTGCGTTAATTTTTCGAACGAGTTGTTTCTTTATTAATTTTCTTCTCCTATCAACTCAGAAGGCATATTGACAAATTCAAGCAGTTTTTTTAATTGAACTCAACATCAAGGTGATTGATAGGGCAAAGAACAAGTCTATCCTAGTCTACTTCATCAATGAACTCTGTACCACACCTACAACTTTGATTCAAACAGAAAAGCAAATGAATGATAAAAACAAAGAAGAGAAAAAACATCAATTTGAAACTATCACAACACAATCTATCACCACGATCGTGGTGGGGTGTGGATAGTGGTGTAGAATCAACTTATTGTAACCCACACCCAGACAGGCACCTCACACCCTAAGAAAAAATCTCATAGATTTATAAGATTTTGAATCCCTCGTATCAGTCGAAGTTGGTCAAACATTATGGGATTGTTCTTATTTTGTTTCCATTGATTATTTCCCCACGAGGTTGAATTCTTTTGCAATATCCTATTTTTAGAAAGCAATATAAGAAATTATTTACTTGTATAAGTTCATTGTTCGACCGATTTTTACAGAAATTCGATGAGTTTTTGTACACAAATTTAGTATTAAATGAGTAATTAGATATCCAGTTTGATTGAACTGTGTGTCTATAATCGTACTGCCAATTACAAAACAATTCGAAAATAAACAAGACAATGAAAAAAAAACTTCTTTATATAGAAGGAAAATTTGAAGAAGCCATAAATTTTCATGAACAAGTACTACAAATTCGAAGGAAATATTATTCTTCTGATCATCCTCATATTGCTAATAGTCTACGTAATATTGGAGATATATTCCATAAAAAAGACAGATATGATGAAGCTTTTGTATATTTTCAAGAAGCACTTACAATTTTGGAGAAATATTACGAGAGTTTTCATCCTGATATTGCTAAATGTATGTCGTCTATTGGATATTATTTTCGTGAACAAAGAAATTATGATAAATCTCTCGAATCTCATCAACGATCTTTGACAATTTATGAAAAATGCTATCCCACTGATCATGTATTTATTGCTTTGACACTCAATGATATTGCAGATAGTCTTGGTGGACAAGATAAAAACAATGAGGCATTGAATGTTCATTGTCGAGCATTTCCAATGCATAAGAAATTTATTCAATATGATCATACCGATATCTCTAAATATTTTTGTACACTTAGATCTTTCTTCTCTGGTCATATTGATATTATTTGTCTTTTGCATAATATTGATGTTGTTTTGAACATCTTAGAAAAATTTGATGATGCTATGATTTTTCATCGACAAGCACTGACTATGGAAGAAGAGTATCATCCATCATTTCAAGCTAAAATAGCACAGACATTCATATGGATTGGACATGTTCTTAGAAATCAAGAGAAATATGAAGAGGCTTTAGATCATTATAAACAAGCATTAGTAATGCAAAAGAGTTATTATCCTTTAGGTCATGTGAATATAGCTTTTACACTTCAAAATATTGGTGCTATTTTATCCGAACAAGGAAAGTATGATGAAGCTTTGAAATTCTATCAGCAAGTAACAATCGTGGTCGAAAAACATGGTTTACATAATCGATGTGACATCGCTTTTAATTTGATGGGTTTCGGTAATATTCTATGTAATCAAGAAAAATTGGATGAAGCCATCGATTATTATCAAAGAGCATTACAAATTCAAAAAGATTATTATGATCATTCAGATCATCCTAATCTTGCTGATACGATTAATAATATTGATAATCTACTTTGCAGTCAAAAGAAATATGATGAAGCCACGAAGTTTTATAAAGAAGCGTTAAGAATTCAAGAAAAAAATTATCCTAATGGACATATCAAAATTGCTATAACATTAAATAATATTGGTCACGTACTGATGAATCAAACAAAATATGATGAATCACTCGACTATTATCAACAAGCATACTCAATACTTGTCAAATTTGGAAGTTATTATCCTTTGGATCAGTTACAGATTGCTTTTAATCTAAGTTACATTAGTGATGTTCTGCATTTGCAAAAGAAATATTAAGAAGCTGTCGAATATCAACAACGTGCATTATCAATTAGAGAAAAATGTTTACCATCTACTCATAAGCAAATTATTACAAGTTGTATCAAGATTAGTCGTAGTTTATGCAGTCAAAAAAAAATATACCGATGCATTTGAATTTCAACAACGAGCTTTATTAATTGAGAAAAAAATCGAACCAATAAATCATACGAATATAGTAAATTGACTTTGTGAAATTGGTAAGAATTTTTTCGATCAAGAAAAATACGATGAGGCTCTTGAATTTTTTCAACGAGCATTAACAATAATAGAAACATCTGATCCATCTAATCATGGTTACAATGCTACTTTACTCAATAGTATTGGTGAGATACTTAAACAGCAACAAAAATATGATGAAGCGCTCACTTTTAAGAATCGTGCACTTAAAATGCGTGAACTCATTTTCCATCAAATCATCAGCATATTGTCAGTATTCTTAACGATATTAGTATTATCTTTCACGAGCAAAATAAATATGATGAAGCACTAGATTGTACGTAATATCAATTATATTGGCGTTATACTCTCCAACCAAAATAAACACTATGAATCACTTAGTTTTTATCAACGAGCTGTAGAGATCAAAGAAAAATTCGATCCAACTGATTATGAAGGTATCGTCATTATGCTTTTTACCATTAGCAATGAATTCAAGCATGGAAAAAGATATGATGATGCATTGCATTACTTAGATCGAGCTCTCAACATACGAGAAACTCACTTGCCATCAACTTATGACCAAATTGCTCGTCGCATCAACGGCATTGGTCTTATTCACGATGAACAAGAAAAATATAATGAAGCTCGCCAGTATTATCAACGAGCATTAGACATCACAGAGAAATTCAATGCATCTGCTTATGATGATATTGCTGTTCTACTCAGTAATATTAGTCTTACATTTCAGCGGCAAGGAGATTATGTTAAAGCATTCAATTTTCGAAATCGATCACTTAAAATACGAGAAACCCATCTTTCATCAAATCATTTACAAATTGCCGATGGTCTTAACGAACTCGGTCATATTCTCTTAGCACAAAAAAAAATACGACCAAGCTCTTTGTTCTTATAAACGTGCATTAGAAATGAGAGAGACATTCGATCCATTGGGATATGAAAACATTGCTAGTCTACTCACTAGTATTAGCAATGTACTACAAGTCATGGATATATTGCATCAGGTCTCAACAACATGGATAATATTCTCCGAAAACAAGAAAAATACAATGAAGCATTCGATAACTACCAAAAAGTTTTAGCAATTTGTGAAGAATTTTATTCATCTAATTATAAGAATATGATTGTTTGCCTTAGTAATAATGCTGATGTACTTGAAGATCAAAAAAAATACAATGAAGCACTTCTCTATCGTCAACGAGCCTTAACAATTAAACAAGAATATTGTTCATCAGATCATGACGAAATTGCAAATAATCTTACAAAAATTGGTCAACTTCATGCAAATCTAAAAGAATATGATAAAGCTCTTGAAGTCTATCAACAAGCATTGTCCATCAGAGAACAAATCTCTCAATCTGATCAAGTTGAGAATGATTATATTATACAATATTTCAGTTTTATTTTTTATCGACCGACAAAGTATAGTAAGATCCTTGATCTGGAGCAAAAGATATTGGAAATATATGAGATATTGTATCCCAATGGTCATGCTAGTACAATTTCATGTCTTAATCGTATCATAAACATGTTAAATGAACGAAAAGAGTATGGTAAAGCGTCCAAATTCCAACAGAAATTACTGAAAGTCAACTTGAAGTGTGGTCTATGCAGTCATCAAGATGCCAGTAAGACTCTCATTGATTTGGCTAACAAGATGTATCTGCTATACAGATATGATGAAGCCATTGAATGTTATCAAGAAGCATTAATACACTATATGAAAAAGATGATCCATCTGACTATGAAGCTATAATCACTGTACTAGAGAAAATGAGTTTAATTTTTAAAATCTAACATCAATACGATAAAGTGTTGAATGCTCAACGTCGAGCATTACAAATTCGGAACGAAAACAAACCTTTTGATCACTTGATGATTGCCAAAAATCTTAAAGAAATAGGTAATATACTTTTTGAACAAGAACTCTATGATGATGCTCTTAATTATTACCAACAAGCACTAACGATATTCGAAGAAAAAATGCCCTACAAATCATATTGAAATAGCTAATTGTTTACGAGAGATCGATCTTGTTTGGAATTCAAAAACAGATTATGATCGTGCTGCTGAATATTTCGAGAAATGTCTATGTATTAGAGAAGCTAGTTTATCTTTAGCTGGTGGAAGAAAAAAGAAATCATCGTGAGCTTTCATTGGTACATGAAATCAATTATTGTTTGATGCGTCTAAAATCTCGACCATTAGATCAAGTAATTATTGGTGATAGTTTTTCTCGAATTGGTCAATGTTATGAACATCTTAATAAACCAATATTAGCCATTGATTATTATAAACACGCGTTAACTATATTTCAAAATTGTTTACCAGAATGGCACGAAAGTCGAATAGATATGGAACTCAATATAGAGCGACTCTCGAAAAATACAACCATATGAGAAATTAGTTTTAACAAACTATAATTCAATTATAAAGTATCAAAAAGTAGTACTTTATATTTCTTCTTCGTGTATGTTTCAATTCGCTTATTAATAACATGTTTCATATGCATAAATAAAAAAAGCGACTGATGAATAAATTCTTTTATCCCTATAGAAACAAGAGGACAGTTAACTAGACACAAGATAATATTTATTCAAATATTAATTGTTAGATGTCTCTAACATTATTCTAGACAGGTTTATCATGTCTGATATTGATGCGCAGCGCATTGAAGTTTGCTAGTGTGGCGTTCTGGAAAACATAGCATGTCAATCTTGCATCTTTTTATTTATCTATAATCAAATTAGATTTCTGTGTACTTCTTTTTTCAGCATAAACAATTGACAAGACCTTTGTATAATTATGTAATAGTATAAATTTTGACAGAGGAATAATTAATGCGAATCTGAAAAGTGTTTTCAATTCGATCAGTTAGTCTTAATTCGAATCGTGCAGTCCAAATGCATTTTTTCCCGCGAAAGGTTCAATTATATTTACTTGCTTCACTTTTCTCAGATTTTAACATGTATCTGACGCAATCAAAACAAACTGTCGATAGATTTTCTTTTATCCTATATGTATGTAGATGTAATTGTTGATTTAGCTACCGATAAAGAAGGAACCTACATTGATACTCTTTGATGATGATCAACTACGAAGCATTATTTTAAGAAGATTTTTGATATACACGGCATTGGATCTAAATAACCTTATTTTTTTATTGAGACATAACAATGATTATTAAATAATCGATCTTTGATATTGAAGAGAGATGAATACATATGACTGCAAAAAGAGCATTGTTGTGATTTAAAGTATTTCTATATTCTTGGATTTCCTTTTTATTTCTCTATGTTTTTAATCTATTTTGTGTGAGGAGACAGTCCGAAATGCGCTGTATCTTTTGGTATATTTGCGTTGAACGTAAAAGAAAATTTGAAGTATAAAAAGTTTATCAAAAGAAAAAAAAATAACATTTTTTTTTTTACTAGAATAGAGAATGTACATATTCTTGTAACATTTTTGTTTCATATATATCTTGACTTCGGCAAATAATAAAATCTTGAGCTTTTTTTTCTAAAATATTTGTCGTTAAAAGCTCTATAAAATTTATATAGACGAAAATCCTATAGCGAATGAGAAAAATTCTCAAAACATTTTCTATATTATTAGAAATTATATGACATGGCGATGTCCTATAATAACTTCGGATGCAAAAGTATCCTCAAAAATGTTGAGGCCTGTTGTGTTCGAATAGAAACTGATAGGAATCTAATTTTTTCAACAGTTGCGAAAGCAAGACTTACAAAATGAAAATGCATATTGACAATATGATTTTATAAATAGTTTTTTTATAATATTAAAGTTTAATCTATTTTAAACTACTAAAATTATCTTGTTGCCAAAAGAAAATATTCCTACTTTCTTTTCTTTAAAATCAACATTATTGTCATTGAAATAGTAAATAATCAATTGAATCCCGGTGAGAAAGGACTCCAAGTGCTAGAATTTTGAAAAAAATGATTTTTCATAATAATATGGTGATCAATCATAAATTAATATCAAAAATACAATCTGTTGATTTCGGAGTCTTTGATGAAAGTTCGAACAATGGGTGCAAAGCATTAAATCTTACACAGATTTAAATTATGCACATTTTTGAATCTTGCAAGATGCTGTATGAAACAGTACAAAAAAAACCAGTGTATGAAAATGAATAGTTCGAACGCGTTCGTATAGCTTCAGAACATATTACTATCGTTTATAGTGAATATGTTCAAATCGTTTCGAATTAATTTTTGAACATGAATTACAAAAAATATGCACTAAATATAGAGATATTTAAAATTCAATATTATTGAGAAAAATTTATATTTATTATAATTCTTAATTATAATAAACTTCGCTCATTTTAAAATATCAGTTAGAAAAAGATTACTTATTTTTATTTTTAAATAATAGAAAAATAAGATTCCTAATTTTTTCTCATTGTAAAAATTTCGTTAAGTTGAAGTATACCTGTACCAGAGATGTGTATGTATAGTCTAACGAGATGTTCAAGTTCTTTTGGCTGAATCTACTCTACGGTAATAAAAGACGAGGTGTAACGCGTTGAATAAGAACAATAGCACCCTAGTGAAAGAACCAGTTCTCCAAGAACGCATATGATTAGTAAAGCAACTCATTTCAGGCTACGATAGAATTGAAAATTATGTTTTTTTTTTCTTTAAAAGTACATGGTATTCTTAGGATACCATAACCTGGTTTTCATAATGAAATTCCGTTCCAAAAGAACGGTAAAAGCGTCTTGCGAACGTGTTTTTCGCCGTTCATTTTTTTAATTCTTTTTTCTTCTATGGATAGTGCCAATTTCGATCTAATCACTGACTTTAATAATTCATAAAGATCACATCTGTTTCATTTTTCTCTTACATTCACTCTTCCTTCTCCAAACAAAATCAGACCGCTTCTCAAAGTTTGTTTCTTGTTGCCAAGTACTACAACAAGAATACAGTCAAGATATGAAAAACTTTTTAGTTTTACCTCAGTTACAGAATAATTTTAATGATTTGCCGGTGGCTTCGATACTTATGCGGATACTTTTGCATCGGAAGTTATGTTCATTTTGAGTGTAAGAAAAGTCAGCAGAATAGATACAAATAACTCAATCATACAGATTCTATAGAGTTTTTCATGTCTGGGCAACTGCGGAGCCAAGTTTTTTTGATGACCAACATGTATATATTGTCGATTCTGCTGTTATAAATCGTCAAAATCTTCTATTATCTATCTATATGTGAATATTATAAACTTGTTAGTGTTAATTGATGCTTGAAAACATCGGTATTTGATTTTTTTTACGAAATAATAAAACAAAAATTATTGATCATCAATCAGCTTGAAAAGACGATTTAGTCGTATTTTTCATCGAAAAAAAATAATCGAGATCAGTAAAAAAAAATAATGTCAGTCCTGGTTCCGTAAAAAAACATTTTTAGTCCCGAAATTGGTCCCACGAAACCGGGACCAGTTTGCAGTTCCCTATTGATGTCACATGTTTTAAACTATCATTTATCTAAACCGAGATATATATAGGAAATTTTAAAAAATTACAACTTTATATACACATCCTGTGTTGTTAAAAAAATAATATATCTTTTTTTTTCTAATATATTTTGTATACTTTAAACTGTCTTTGATGTTCAATGTAAATATACTGAAAGATGCAAGACATTCCGGGCTTTCTCTCTCTATACGGTAAAGTAATAGATAAAAAAAACAAAAATCAGAGTGTATAAATTCAATGTTCGTGGACGGATGTTTAGCTAAAAGATCACTGTTTAGTTTTTCATTATATATTTTACGTTTTTTGTTGATCTAAACCTTACGCCAAACGTTATAGTATTATTGCTCATATATTCTAAACTTTTTACTTGAAATCGAAATTAATTTCTTTCTACCGAAACAAAAAAGAAAATTAATTTCAATATGGGTGTGGATGTGGGCGTAGGGTGTGGCTAAAGAGAAGACCCACATCTATACCCACACCCATCCACACCCACACCCATCCACACCCACACCCTAGACATACGTCATTCCCAAAAACGGAACACTTTTTTTGTTCCATTTATGAGAAGGAAATTCCCAAAAATGAAACACTTTTGTTCTTTTTTATGGGAATCGATTCCCACAAACGAAACAGTTTTGTTCTGTTTTTTGGAAAAAATTTTTTGTTTGTGTTTTTGTAAACGACAACAGAATATGGCGACTATCATACACATTGATATCACATAAATAAACATTTATATGTACACATCGATCGAAAAGAAGACATAATTGATTCTTCTCATTCTCAAAGTACACAGCAACATAACAACTTTTTCACATGACGTGCACTTCATCTGGAATTTTAAATATTAGATGATCGAGTATACACATGAGTACTGACCACCTCGAGTACGAGTACGTACTCGTACTTGCCCAGCTCTGGTGTTACAAAAAAAAGTGTGCACAATAAAGAATATTTATCAACCGATTTAAGAAGAAAGCGAAGTGAATGATGTAAATTTTACTTTCATCTTTCACAAAGCCATTTTATATCAGCGAAAATCGATAAAAAATTGCTGATGACTATTCTTAATCTTTCAAATTTCAACCTTAATGTAGTGTACATATGTAACTGATTTTCATTGACATATTCATCAACACTTGAAAGTAATTAACATCAAAGTCATTTCACAGGAATAGAATGTATAATGAAATACTGCATAATATTGTATGATTTATTTCAATTTTAAATCTAAAAGATTTTTCTTATATTAATTATTATCATTCTGATGAATTCGTTAAATTTGTTTTTGTATGTCTTTGAAGGTAAAACAAAAACAAAGAAAGTAAGAAAAGCTGGTAGAAAAGAAATAAAATAACCGATAAGAAAAAGCCAAGAATCACGAGCTGATCTCATGCAGCCTGAAGTTAAAGCAAGAACGATACGAGGTAAAGCGAGAATAACCAATATAAGTGGACTAATTATGAGATGCTTGTGCTGATGCCATTGTTCATACAATTGTTGTCTATAGGTATTCTGTTTCTGTGTTTTTGATCGGCTTTTAGCAGATATAATGATAATGATAACTGCTGAAATGATATTAATACAGAATGGAACAATAAAATAAAATAAGTTTTTTATTTGTTCAAAACTTTCAATTGTGGATGAATAGGAAACAATGCACCAGATTCTTTTTTCTTCTTCATCATTGATTAATTTTCGATGCAAAGGAAAATTTATATGCGTTGTAATGACAAAAACAAGCAAAATGATTCGTTTGGCGATTTTCTTGCTGTTTGCCAGATTGAATGTAGTATCCTTAATAACCATAATTGCTCTTTCAATTGATACGCATGCATGCAAACAATCGATAATAGATATTAGAATTATAAGAAGAACATCAACTGATAAACAGTTAATATTATGAAAAAGTTTGTTTGTGATTGTTTTTGTCTGTATGAAGAGAAGAGAAATGAATTTGAAAGTCAACATAATAGTAATCAATAAAGAGACAATTGACGAAGAAAATAAATAAAGACCACAACCAACTTCTTGACATATTTTGTATCGAAATGTATTGATTGAAAAGAAACTGTTGATCATACCTAGTAGAAAAAGGATGGCAACAATAATCGAACTAATTTTAACAGCTCTCGATTGTTGATTAATTCCTACATCAGGTCGTATTTGATAACCGAGTATAACATCAAGCGAAAGACTCATTCCTTTTGTTTTAAATTGACATTTTGATCCATAAAAACATTCCGGACATGAACAAAGTGGGATCCGGACAGTTGCTCGCCGGACATTTGCTCGCTAGGACAGTTGCTCGCTAGGACAGTTGCTCGCCGGACAATTGCTCGCCGGACACTTGCTCGTGAATCACACGGCCACTCAATGGCATCAAGTAGCAGCCTCCTCCATCGGATTGTCTTTTAAAAACGTCATAAGTTCACCACCATGTACATCAACTTTAGTGTTTATCTTCCATAGCTGGTTCGATTTGGTGCGTATTTTGGTCATAAAGTGTATGACACATACGCTCTGAATCGATAGTACAGAGGAATCGCCCAAACTATCCTGTCTACAGGAGGTCTTGTTGGATTCCGAAATTTGACTCCATGACGGACTATGAGTAAAGGTGATGTGGACAGTTGAAGAAGGGTGAAGAGAAGACTTCTACTCAATTACCCTCATCTTTACCTATATGAAATATCGTGCACATCCAAGCGAATAAAACGAGTTTTTGAAGTAACGACTACATTATCCAATGCGAAATTATCATACAGACTTCGAAAATTGCTTAAAATACATCAGAGTCTGTTACTTATGCGGAAATTTTCCAGCTTTCACCTATTTTTATTTTGCATCGCTCTTTTTAAAGATTATTTTCGTGGTTTATTCATACATCCACATCAAAGCAGTTTTGCGAGCAAGTGTCCGGCGAGCAATTGTCCGGCGAGCAACTGTCCTAGCGAGCAACTGTCCTAGCGAGCAAATGTCCGGCGAGCAACCGTCCGCGCGCAATTGTCCGACGAGCAACTGTCCTAAACCCGAACAAAGTATTGATGAAGGACACTTTGGATGATTTTGAAAGCATTATCCATCATTGTGACAATAGGTTGATTGTTGACATGTATATTTCATCGTATGATTAAATTGAAAACAATTAGCATGTCGCTCATTCGTACACAAACACATATGTTCACGATCATGAAAACATTGCAATGTTACCCGTTCTCGACATGGTCTTTGAAAATATTTAATACGGCGAAGAATCTCAAATTTTAAAATTGTTGAATTCAAAAATTCATTAATAGATGGACATTGATTTGAGTCTTCAATAAATACTTAATAATATTTTGATGAAATATAATCTGTTTGAATGACACCTAAATAATAAATTTTGTTGATATCAATAAAAGCCAGATGAAATTCATCTGGCATGCCAATGACAACTGAATCTTGATCATAAGCAATCTTCTTTATCACAATTGCGCGTATTGGATCATTATCATGCAACACAGTAATAAAATGAACATAAACTGAATCAGGAACATAATTTGCTTTTGAAAAAGAGATTTCAATAAAAGATTGACGATATTTGCATCGAATTCCTGTGGATCCTCCTTGACATAGACACGTGAAATTGTTTTCAGATATTCGGACATCTGTTGGTACACAAATGCCTTCGTTTTCACAAGGATTCGGGCTACATGAAGATTGTTTAAGGTAACTTCGAGAACCAAACATTGGTAGAGGACATACACAAATAGAACGATTATTTGAAGAACCAATGCAATGAGTTCTTGGTGCAGAATTGCAAGAATCAATTCTTTTATTACAATCGACTCCCGACCAACTTGCAGAACAACGATAAAAAGATTCTCGTGTATTAACTGCTAACACACAATCACCATGTACACAACCAAAAGTGGAATATTCAGCAATAGTAGCTGGTCTATTGAGTAGTGAAAGAATTGTAGATATACGATATACAGGCAAAACTGAAATCTGTATCGGAAATAACCAACTAGCGTGATATTCCAATGTCAATTTGTTGAATGTATCTATTCGGATCACATATGATAGTGAGTTGTCTTTTGGACGTTGTGAATAAGATAATGTAACATCAACTCGAAGGTTACAATCACGCATTGGTAGTAATTCTCTCTGAGCAAATGAATGAATTTGAGATGTATTATCTATCAACATAATGACGAATTCAAAGACCATGCGAAAATCAAATGTACGAAAACGAAATAGTATATCTACACGTTGAGCTTGAAATTGACAACGATTACCATAATAACTAGCAGGACATAAACATCGTATGTTTTCATCGGTTAACTTTCGTTCACCGAAGAAAAATGGAATTCCTCGATTACAGAACCAGGCTTCGTTTCTATCTAACTTCTTATTTATGAAAATATGACGATTGTTTGATTTTATCATTGATTGCGGCTGAAGATCAATATGAGATCGTTCAGTCAAGGAAAAATAAACTTTCCTTTTGGGTTTTTCACCTTCATCTAAACTGCATAGAAGTTTCTCAGTTGACATCGCAGGTTCGTCACAAATACGTATAATGTTGCTCAGCCGTTGGCAACTTTTTTCATCATCTTTGAATGGCCAATCGATATACTCATCACATCTATTATTGACCATAATACACCATGAACTATTAAAACATCGGTATCTTACCATCGGAGAAAAGATGGTGTTGCGTTTATTTCGACAATAAAATCGTTCGTCAGTTCCACCAATACAATCTGTATGATTATCTCCGGCTTTGAATGCTGGTAAGCAAGTAATTTTAAATGTTTCAGGTGATAGACATTCGAACCCGTCTGGTGAACATGGGTTCAATAAAGGACAATTCAATTCATCATTACCATCTGGACAATTCCAGAATCCATCGCAACGAGTATAAATATTATTATACGGCCATTCCTCACAATGAGTTTCATCCGTCACAAGTTCGGTTTTATTATCATTCCAATACATGACGTCGGCAAACATATGTTTATTAACTTCGATAAAACCGTCGCAAACAATAGGAAATGACAAAGACGTTGGAGTTCCTTCGAGGTATGTATTGCCAACACCAAATAGACATTGTGAAGCGACTTCATCTGCCATTAAATGTGAAACACATACGTCACCCGAAGGACATGAAATTCGAATTTTATCTTTTAATGAACAAGTAAAGTTTGTCTTTTCGTCGTCTCCTCCATAACAATCGATAACGCCATCGGACAGACGCCGTATCGAAATACATCTCAAAGATTCTTTGCATTGATACATTGTTTCGGAATTATTACATACGTTTCTTTCATTGGGTAAAGAACAATATCGATAAGTTTTGGCTATCGCATCGTTGACAGATAATTCGGTTAGATTCAAATTCAAACTCAAAAATGGTATACAATATGATCCATTGATTTCTATCATTGGTTTCATAAATGGGCAATAGAGAGCATTGAAACAAACGTACAAAGGTATACCGCGTGTCTCTTCATTATATGTTCGGTTAGCCGTATAAATTGCAAAGACATGTCCAAACGCTACTGGTACAGATGGAAAGAAGAATATTGGATCACAGTTCTTTTCTACTTCATCAATCCATAACGAAACTGAGATTGTTTGTTT